TTTTTCCAAATGAAGTTTACAAGTAATCATGGAAAAAGGTAATTTAATAAAAGCAAAAATCGAGCAACATAAAACTAATTTACGGATTCTGAAATTGCTTGTGAAAAGCGAGTCCACAACAACAGTAACGGAAAAACAACGAAAAAATATATATATATGTACAACAATGTGGCATGAACTTTTCGGCCACAAGAGTTTGCTACACGCCACTATTTAGCTCAAGTTCAAGGTTAAGCACATTTATGAGCCACTCAGAAGTCAACGGCATTTTGATTTTTAAAGTGCTGCGCTGGAGTTCACAATGCTGCCATAAGTGGTCAACTTAAAGAGCTCAGGCAGATGCAATAAGAGGGCAAGAAAAGCTGAATGGATAAGCTGAATGTCCGGAGCAGGCAATCTGGGCTGAGAATGGGTTAAGTCCACACGGAAGCACAAAAAGCATGTTTAGCCATTTCACGCAGCAGCCATAAGCTGAATGCTCCTGCAGATATTGAAGCCAACTTTTGCTGACACACAGCGTGATAGCAGAGGCGGGAGGGGGGCCAGTTGAGCACTTGGAAGAATGATGCTCCAACCAGGCATGCTATAAACACACACACACACACACACCCACCCCCCTCTCCATAGTCTGACCAACCGCACGTATGACAAAACAATTTGGGCAGCTTATTTATTCTAGGTTTTACTCGGTTTTTTTTTCTTTCCTTTTTGGCTGGCATCCAAGAAAAATATGTGCAACAAAATGTTACAAGGCCAAAATAGTGCAGCAAATATTGCAAATGCTAAAGGACAACATGTTAAAGTTTAAGCACACACACACAAACACACACACACACATCCTGAGTATCCTTTTTGTGCCAGGCAGTGACCGACATTGGCTGCAATTTTATGCCAAGCTGATTTTCCAGCCAACTTGCGCCACATGCGAGAGTATTTAAGCAAACTTTTGTGTCTGTATTTGTGTATACATATATATATATATATATATATATATGTGCCTGTGATTTAAATCATTGAATGCTGCTTTAATGCCATTTTATTTCAGTGTATGCCATTCAAATTGGGTATCACCAGCTGTATGCAAAAAGTTTTGGCCTAAAGCAGCTGCTCAGTCCGCATTGAAATTTCAATTGTTGTTCTTGTTGTTGTTGCTGTTGTTGCTGTTGTTTGTCTTCTTGCTTTTGGGCAATGCGACATTTTAAGGCGGATTGCTAAAGTTTATTAAACTGTGTTGCGAGCACAGATGCACTGTTCTCTAATATAATAATATTCCACAAAAAGAAATCTCTGGCCTACATTTGTAAATAGATGTTAAAGGATTTATTTTACATATATCTTATAAATCAGACTTTAAGTGTAAAATAAATATGCATTTTCATGTTTTTCATTTTATCTGAATTGAAATGCTAAATAATATTACGCATACGCAGTATAAGGACTTTTATGGGTGAGCTTTTGAAAATGCTCTGATTTATGAATGCTCTGATTTATAGAAGATTGATTTAAATCTTTATTTAAGACGATACCTATATATAAAATGCTTTAAGTCTTTGTGCAAGATTAATAAATAAATATATTTATTTAAACAATTTAAAAGAGTGTTTAAAATCTGTATTGAAGATAGATAAATAAATACATTTATTTATTTGCAATATTTAGAACAATGTCTTTATTCTTCAATATAATTTAAATAAATCCATTTATTTAAATAAGTTCAAAGTGTGTCTTTATTCTTTATTCAATATGAATAAACATACTTTTAGAGTTAAGATAAATAACTCTATTTTATTAGCTGCTTTAAATAACTACTATAGACTAAAACTTTAACTGTAAACCTATTCAAAATGGCTGCTCGACACCGTTGCCAAAGTGCAGAATCTGCCAGCAGCAAATATCATTAAGAAAATTGAATTCGTGAAATAGATGCATAAGTAACATGTGCATATGTCTGTGTGTGTGTTTGTGTGTGAGTGTGTGTGTGTGGATACTTCTACTCGCTCACAGGCTATAAATCAACAGGAAAGTGGAGTGGAAAGAGGACAACAATAACAACAACAACAGCACTCTTAAATGGGCAGTGAGGGGAGCGGAGTGGAAGCGAATTGTGAATTGTGAAATCCGACTGGTGACAAGTGTCAGTGCGAGATGCTATGACAAAGTGTCAAAAGAATGTTTGACATGTGACTGTCTGTCTCTCAGTCTGTCTCCCTCTGTCTCTCTCCCTCTGTCTCTCTGCCTCACTCTATCTCACTGTTCACCTCTTCACTCTCTGCGTCTCTCTCACGCCGCTGCTGCTTTTTGCTTCACTTTCATAATGCCGCTTTTTACTTGTGCGACTGTTTTTTATTACGCACACAAACACACACATAGATATATATATATTTATATATATACATATATTGGCAGAGAATTTCGCACGTTTTTGTTTGCTTGCTGCAAAAGGTGCTGAGTGCTGTTAGCCAGGAGTCTGAATAATATATTCTTTAGCCTTTTGTCACCTATCCCCCCAGTACCCCTCGTTCCCCCCACACACACACATTCCCCGCTGCGCATAATTTCTTTTGTCAACACGGCTTAAACGGGCTAAATGCAGTTCAAGGATTTTCATTTTAAAGACCTCAAAAACTTGATTTTCAATGCAATTACTTGTTTTCAGTTATTTAGCTATGTACGTGAACAATGTTGTCAAAAGTTATAAATAAGGCAATTTATATTTAATTTGAATAAATTCCAATAGTTTTTCAATAAATTGCGCATTGTTAAATAATAATTAATTATATATAAACTATTTCCATATATATTTTATTTACATATTTTATTTTAATAAATTGAGCATTGTTAAATAATATTAAATTAAATTTTAGTTGCGGCTTTCAGAAACAGAGGCTTGTTGAATGCAAACAAATGGCTGGAAGCAACTGAGCCAAACCCGTTTTGGCCGAAACCCCCTACAGGCTAGCTGCACATTTGGCCAAGAGGCCAGTTGTCAATGAATCGGCAATATTAAAAGGAATATCATGTTAAAAGATGCAGATACGAGCGAAGCAACAAAAAAAAAGGAAAACAGAAGACAGAAAACAGAAAACAGAAAATACCCGCCATAAAATCAAAAGAGGCATAAAAAATAAAAATAATATTGCTGCATAAAAATCAAGACTCGCTTGGAGTTGCCTGAATATGAAGCACTTGCTGCCCCAGAAGGGGAGTCTCTCTCTAATTGTCGGTTTGCGAGTGCATGCATAATTTCCAATAAGAAACGATGCGTGCAGCAAGTAAAAGAAAGAAGGCAAGGCGAGAGGGGAAGGGGAGGGGGGCAGCTAAGGGGCTGCTGCAAGTACAAGTCAAAGGCAAATGTTACTCGTTAATTTTATGCGACTTTAGCTACGCGCCTCACCATATTAATTAACGATGCGTTTAAATGCGTGTCAAAGGTTGCAACTCGCTTTGCCCAACTGGGTCACTAATTGCAACGTCTTTAAACTTTGACTTAAGCCAGCAATCAAATTTCGAATTCGCCAATTTGTGGCCAACTTGAGCAAAGTCTTTGCCAGAACTAAATTGGAAAGAAAAAACATGTTGAACGAAAACTTTACTTAACAGCAAGAGCGCGGTGTGGACCATAAGATAACAGCGCCAGCAAGAGCGAGCCTAAGAGCGAAAGAGAGCGAGAGCGAGAGAGAGAGAACTTCCTCAAACGCCGCTCAGCGCTGTTACCCAATGTGGATGTTAAGTTAACAGCAAGGCTTGAGGGAAATTTTAAACGTACTTGTTGACTGTGTGGCTTAACATAGCTGTGTGTGTGTGGGTGGGGGGGTGGAAGATAAATAAGCTGTGGGTCAAAGAATCGTTCTAATAAGCAATCAAAGATAAGCCAAAATTCAGCAATTTACTGCATTGCTTGAGTGTCCTATTTATTTTATTATTTTTTGTGTTTTTTAGGCATAAATTAAATAAAAACATTTAGACATATTGAAAAGCGATGCATTGACATCTGTGTAAACAACAACAGCAACAAAAATATGCAAATTAAATATTTACTCAAGCAAATTTATGCAAACCACTGTGCAGGATATGACTGAAGTTTCCATGGCTAAGTTTCGTTTTGTTTGATTTTTTTTTGTTTTCTTTATTTCCCCCCCTTGGGCAGTTCACGTTAGTGGTTGACCAAACGTCTCTCGCGCACTCTCTCTCTCCTGCTCTCGCTCTGGCTCTGCCCCTCTCTTTCTATCTTTTTGGGGTTCGCCTGAGAAACTTGGCCTTTTAATATTATGGTAAAATTAGTTGAACTAATTCAATCTGCGGCTGGAGTCCTTTGCTGGTCAGCGCCAAAACTTTTGCGAAACTTCATCTTTCTGGCTTTAAACTGTCGCAAATTGAGGCTGACAACTGTCTTCAAATTAAGCAAATTTTTTCTTCTCTCTTTTCGCTCTCTCATTTTTTTTGTCTTTTGGGTAGTTAACTTGTTTCTAATTATGAGTCACAATTAGTCTAAGCTTTTTTCTGTTGTCCTGCTTCATTATGATAATTTTGTTGTCCGACCATTTGCATAATTAACGAATATAAATTATATGTTTGCCATATGCATACATATGTGATTAGTTGGCCAACAATCCCAGCAAGAAGGCCCCGCGGCGCCAAGTCCTTGTTCCTGTCAACATGTCCTGCCGTTGATTGAAGGCCAAAGGTTGCCAGCTTATTTAGAAATTTATTACTAGACAAGCTATTTTTCCTTTATGGCTTTATGGACGTGAAGAGTTAAACATAACTTTTCAAATATTATTATTTTTATTATTTTTTTTTGTAGGCCTTAAACGGTAAACATAACTTTATTATTATCATTATTATTTATTTACTTTGTTTCCAAATTTTAAGCATTACTTTAACTAATAGCTTGGGTGCCTTTAATTATTACCATTTTTTGTGGATCATGTGTTGAAATTATTGTCAACATTTGTTGTTGCGCATAATTATTATTGTTTGAAGTTTTCAGATTTTGATTAGATAAAATTCTAAATTGTTTGCCTAAAAGCATCATGTGTCACTCAATGGGCCACGCAATATGCGAACTGAAGAATATGCCGCTCTCTGGCGATAAGGAGCTGGACAGCCAGATAAAGAAGTGGATCAAATGGGACCACAATCAGGATACGCTATCTCAAATTATGGAGGCAGTCAAAATGGAGGATTGGGACACGTAATAAACCCCCTACAAATTGCCAAATAGATATATATATACAGTTTATTATCATATCAATCATCAGATTAAGGTGTCGTCTCTGCAAGAGAATCACATTCGGAACATCTGGTTTACGATCCGTGATGCGAGCTGGCTTCGATTCAATGAACGAACTAGTTGTTGTACAGTAGGTTAATGATTGAGTTACAATTGAGATACATACTGAGTAACATCCTTTGTCGTTTGCTTGGCAGGACAGCGCAGGGTTTGTGTTCCTATCTAAAGCAACAATATCCGGATGAGACAATGTGGCCCGATCGAGGCATTGTTGTGGGCTATGATGGTCGCTACAACAGTCAACGCTTTGCAGAGCTGACAACGATTGTGTTTTTGAGCCAGAACTTTCGCGTCTTTCAATTCCGATGTCTCGTTGCCACGCCCTTTGTGCCCTACTCTGTATTGAGGCTGAATTGCCTGGCTGGTGTCATGGTGACTGCCTCCCACAATCCCAAGCAGGATAATGGCTACAAGGTATAACTGTTTTTTTAATCGAAGGTATTGAAGAAGATTGAAATGATTGTCTAATTAGAATTTTACAAAGTTTGAAATGGATATGTTGATCAACTAGACCATCAATCAGTCAGCTATTCAATCAATCTGTCCGTCATTCATTTTCTGGTTAACAATCATCATATCATCTTCCTGAGTTTCTGACAGTCAGTCGGTTGCTCAATCAAGCAGTTAGTCAATCAATCAATCAGTCATTTACCTGTTTTCTACTTCAAATTTACCCGTGGCTTAATTCTCCTCCTCAGGTTTATTGGACAAATGGTGCTCAGATCATTCCACCACACGATGAGGCCATCAATCAGTCCATCCTGGAGAATTTGCAGCCGAGTCCCGATTCCTGGGATGAGACGGTGCTCTGCGCCAATGAGCTGTTGAGCGATCCCTATAACAACGTTGTGCCAGCCTATTATGACGCACTAAAAAAGGAGATCTCCTGTCCACTGATGGAGGCCAATGGCAGATGCACTTTGACCTTTACTTACACAGCGATGCATGGCGTTGGTTATCCCTATGTGAAGTTAGCCTTTGGCAAGATTAATCTCAAACCAGTGATTCCGGTGTGCGAGCAGGTTGAGCCCGATCCCGAGTTCCCAACGACACCAAAGCCCAATCCGGAGGAGGGCAAGGAAAGCCTACAATTGGCGCTGTGTCGTGCAACTGCCAAGAAGAGTCCCATCATTCTGGCCAATGATCCGGATGCAGATCGTCTGGCTGTCGCCGCTGTCGAGGAGAAGGACAAATATAAACTATTCAGTGGCAATGAGTTGGGTGCTCTGTTGGGCTGGTGGGCATTACACAACTACCGGATGAAGGAGGAGAGTGCCGACTTATCGAATTGTTCGATGGTCGCCAGTACGGTTAGCTCGAAGATACTTAAATCGATGGCTGAAGTCGAGGGTTTCAATTACCACGAAACGTTGACCGGCTTCAAATGGATTGGCAACAAAGTGATTGACGAACAGACTGCGGGCAGAAAGGTGCTGTTTGCATTTGAGGAATCCATTGGCTATATGCTATCCACAAATGTGATCGACAAGGATGGCATCAGTGCGGCGGCCCATGTGGCAACAATGGCCTGCTACCTAAAGTGTAAAATGTGCATGACAATGCAGGAGAAACTGCGTGATATCTACGAGACCTATGGCTATCATACGAGCATCGTATCCTATGTCACTTGTAAGGACAAAGTCCTCATAGAGAAGATTTTTAAGCGATTGCGCACCTTTGAGGACGAGCAGGAGAACACCTATCCCAGCAGCATACTGGATGGCGAATTTGAGATTGAGAATGTGCGCGATTTGACGACAGGATACGACAGCAGCACTCCTGATAAGAAAGCCACTCTGCCGGCTAGCGAGAGCATCCAGATGATAACGTTCACCTTCAAGAACGGCTTCGTCGTAACCCTGCGCACCAGCGGCACCGAGCCCAAAATGAAATACTATGCGGAGATGTGCGGCAAGCCGGAGAACAAACGTTGGGATGAACTCGAGCTGGCGCTTCATCGGATGACCGAAGCGGCTGTCGAGGAGTTCTACGAACCCAAAAAGAATGGCCTGCAATTGAGAGCAGACTGAGAAAGAAGTCTATACGAATAACACAAATAAATTAAATAAAGAAGAATAACAAGCTGCAGCTAACTAAAAGCAAATTAATGTAAATTGACAATATTGAATACAATAACATTCCTAAAACATCAATAAAGCAAAGAGTAAACATTTAAATAATTAATTTTTAAATAAACAGAAAGTTTAAAAGTCAATAGGACAAATCAATTTATATTATACTCGTATATTCAAGATCGTTAAATTTTCTACATCCAGAATACAATTATTTGATTTTTCTACAAGGATCTATAACCAAAAGAATAATTTCTTATATGTACATCTCGCATACTTTTTCGTTTAATCATATAAATATTAAATCAATTGAAATTAAATTGTAAGGCCAGTTTTGAGGCCGCCTAACTCAGCAGGCTAGCTTTATGCACTGTCATTTTAAAAATTAGATTATTTGACTCAGATACAAACGAAATGTGCTCGAAATTGTTACGTGAATTGACCACTGACATTGTGAGGCAAGCGGCAGCTACAAAGCCGCTGCCGTTGCAGTTGCAGCGGAGGCATTTTATAATGCCGCCAAGCCAGCTGGGAGAGCAGCCGTCCAAGGTGAAGATAATCAACAATAGGCACGTGCCGCAACTGGTCCTCAAATACAATCCAGTCAAGTACTATCTGAGCAAGTTGCGCATGTGGAAGCTGCGATGGACCTGGGATCGGGGATTCAAGCAGCACGACTTTGTCGAGGAGTCCAAGCGAGCAGCCGTCACCCTGACGAATATTCTGCGGTTACGCGATATGACAAATATTGATGCCTATTCGACCTCAAATGTCTACTACCAAATGGCCACCGAGACGGTCAACTTTCCACATGAGGCATTTGTTGAGTTGTTGCGTTTCCGTCAACAGGATATCCGTCAAGCGGTGCCGATTAATGTCCATCTTCATAATATACTCGGCTTGAAGTATGCTGTCATCGATGTGGTCCTTGTGGGTTTGCGTCATGTGGCCGACTGTGACAGCGATGAGGATTTGGCCAAAATGAAGGCTGCTCTGATGGAAATAGAACCGGAATTTAGGCAACAACTGGAGGATCCCAGTGCTCAATTGCCGTACGTGTTCATCGAGCTGTTTATGCGCTTCCGGCGTAACTATTCCAATGCAGAACAAATCTCTGGCCAGCAGCTAGCCAACCACACGAATCGTTGGCTTGTGTCCGTTTATAAAATATGTAGATTCAACATATTTACGGTGCCACCAGCCACCATTTAGCTCAATGGAAGAGATACTTTTGTTGCAACCTAATAAATGTTTACAAATGCAATTGCTTAATATTTAAATATTTAATACGGAATATATCAATCGATATCGTCTTTATCGATGTATTTCCTTTCATTCAATACGCAATACAAATCGATTATCAGCGATAGATGTCTATCGATAAGTCAGTATTTATTCACTTGTTCAATTTTGGCACATTCCAATTGCTTTTTTTTGTTTGCTATCAGAAAAGATTAGCTTATAGGTAAATGAAATAAAAATATTATTCGAAAAAGTAAGTTTTATCCATTTTAATATTTAGGCAGCATGTTCCCGCTTCCGTTTCGCGCCAGGCAATCGCCGGAGATGATCGCTTGCAAGAGAATTATCCGTAGTCTCTTCTCGAGGCGCTACAAAAATGTGGCCTGGATATTTTATGATCGCATCGAGGCCGGTGTGCATATGTTAGATGGCTACCATGACATTGTGAAGGAGCCCATGGATCTGAGGACCATACAAAATCGTCTCAATTCACATTTCTATACGAATACCATCGATTTTGCACGCGATGTGCGTTTAATATTCGGCAATACCTATTTGTACACAACTCCCGATCATGTCTGCTATCAAATGGCCTACGAGCTGGAGCTCATCTTCGAGAAGATGTTTGCCGCTGTGCCGCTGACCGAGAACTTTGTCAAAGACTACCCCTGGACGGAATCATCCAACTCCAGTTATTCTCCTGGCATGTATGCCTCATCCATCAACAATTCATCAATCCGTCAATCGAGCAATGATGAAAGCGATTCGGATGCCAACAGCCAACTGGAAGAGTTGCCGCTGACTGAAGAAGAGGATTTCGATTTGTATATTCGGGTGCAGCAGCTGGAGGGTGCAATGCTTTTGAATGTGATACACATGATCCACCAGTTGGAGGACACCAACTATGTGAATGCCAACAGTGAGCTGGAGCTATATATACACCTCTTGAAAACCCACACAAAACGCACTCTTTTGGCCTATCTGTCCGACAATGGGATAACTGACAAACGCGTCACTCGCATGAAGAAGAACATATCATTCCAGTGAACATATTATATATATATACATATTTCCATATATATGTATATCTATAATTTGATCAATAAAAAGCAAAATGGACTTTATTTCTTGTGAGTCTCTCTGTAGATGTCGCGCAATCGTCGAATATTTCGATATTCGCCATTCCAGACTTTATTGCGCATTATGTCCCTCGTATTGGCCGACATGTAGGCATAGAACGTCTTCTTCGGAGGTCCTCCACGGCACAGATAGTTGCCCATCGCATACCAGCAGGCAATCGTATGATTCATATACATATCGTTTAGCTTTTTGTAGTACTCGGCTTTCACCTTGCTAGCCTGCGGACAGATGAGGTGAGATGTGATTATTAAGATATTAAGGGTTAACATCTTGGTTTAAATTAAATTTCAATTCAACATTTAGTATAGGTACCTATTCAAAATTGATTGGAAATCGAACTTATTTTCATTTACGACAATCACAATTCATTCAAATTACTTTTAATTTGTGGGTAGTAAAAAAGAATTTCACTTAATTCACGTGGAATTGTGAACAAGTAAATGAACTTAAAATAAGACAAGCAGATACACTTACTAAAATTTGTTGTAAGGAGTGTTATTATACTCACTAGAGCCTTGGCATGGCTGTAGTAGGCGAAAGTCTCCTTGTGTGGCGGCAATTGATCCATGCCCATTAGATCGGCGGTTGGTGGACGGTTCTGGAGCAGGATTATCATTTCGAATACCTTAAGCGAGTCCTGGATACTCTTTTGAATCTCCTCCTCGGTGTACAGTTTGCCATAGCGTCGCTTTATCCACTCCTGCAGCACGGGCAACTTGTGCGCCTCCGGCAAGGAGGCGAGCACAAATCGCCGATTTTTGCGCAGCTCCTGCATACCTTCTTGGAGCATGCGACTCATCAGCTCGGCATTATCGGGATCAATGCGATCGACGGCGAAGGTGAGATTTCTTGCCTCTGTCTCAGGATGTTGCTCGTTCTGTTCGGCCGCCTCCATTTCGGCCCGTTTCATGTTGACGCCCCTCATCCAGATGTCCTTGGCACAGCGCACAACAGCATCGACAATCTCCGCCCGGCGATCCTCATGGCTGCGCTGGCTGTGCTCGCTCGAATCATCCGAGGACGCACAACTGTCCGTTAGCCGTAGGCCACTCACCTCCATTTCCAGCTGGCCGACATCTTCGTCGGAGGTGATCTCTGAGGGCTTCTCACACGACGGCTTTGGCGCTGCATCGCCTTTGTCCAGGGCATTCACAAAGGCCCGATCAATGAACTTCTTGACATCGCGTGGCTTCTCTAGTCCGGTTCTGAAGATGCGCTTGTATTTGAACTGATACGGCTTGTGATCGCCGGGCGCCGTGAAGAAGGTCTTCTTGGTCTGCTTGCCCTGATAGCGCACCTCCACCGCTGGATCCTTGCGATTCTTGCGCAGCCTCTTCATTTTGCTGTCATCAATGAGGAATGAAATGCGCTGCTGATTTTTGCCCTTGTGCGCCAAGCACGATGATGGGTCCGGCTCGTAGTAGACAGCATCAAAATCAGTTACTTTCTTACAGGTGCCCAGTTCACCCCTAAAATCGATGGGCTGCCGATGTAGACCACCGCCCGTTAGACGTTCACCCACACACTTCTCGGTCGCCTCAGTGTGTGCCAAATTGAGACAGTCGCCCACCAGGGCTCGACCCTTTCTCTCGTGTGGCTTGGCCACAGGCAGATCGACTCGCTGCTCCTGACAGATTACACAATCGAATTTCCTGGTTATCGTGTGCACCGTTGCACTCTCCATTTTCATGGCATATCGTTTCATGCAACAGTCCACATCATGTTCGAGCTGGGCGAGAATGCGACGTTGTCGCAACTTCCGATAGGGCAGTGTCACATCCATCAATTCGATGCAGCGATCGCGTGCCAGGACAACCAGTTCGTCCTTCACCAGCTGTGCCTCGCCCACGGCAAAACGATGATAGGCACAGAATTGCGGCTCATCGGTGTCCTCTTTCATGGCCTTCTGCAAAGCCAACGCTGCTCGGCGACTGATCCGAGCCTTGGATTCCAGCTGTTTCATGTGATTGAGATGATTGAAGTATTTATCGACCGCTTCGCCAACGGTTTTCTTCACCAGTCGATTAACTGGATTCAAATTGTAATCGGCAAACCAGGGCGGATCGGTTGGTTTGCCATAATTGGGTGGCTGATCCAGTGGCCAAAATGGGAATTTCGCTATCATTTGGGGTGGTTTACTGGTGTACTTAACCACAATTTCTTTGGGCCGTGGCTGACGTTGAAAGTATGGGGATTTTGTGCCTTTATTTGTCTTCTTTGGTTGCGTCGCTTGTTGCTCTAGTTGGGGCTTGGAATTCCCTGGGATTGTCGTACTTCCCCGTTGTCTCCTAAGTTCCAATTCACTGAGCTGCGGCGGCGGTAATATCCTATCCAATTCCCGCAATGTGGGCAACAAATCAATTTTGGCCATTGCAATCATTAGCAGCTTCTCGTTCGTTGTGTATTCTCCATTCTTGCGGCAGCTAACATAATAGCCATCGAGTATGAAGAAGAGAAAGGCGAGATCGTTGCCACGGCTCAATTGCACCATGGTGCGGATTTTCTTTTTGCTGATCATTGGACTCAGGCCGAGACGCATTAGGATCTTCTCCACACGAAAACTTGTGCCCTGCTCGAAATCGTCGCGCAGATCATTGCACAACTCTTTGATGGCTTCCTCCTGGTAATCGGATAGACCTGCATACCATTTCGGAACATCGAGTGCACTTTGAAATTCTTCTAATTTTCGCTGATAATCAAGATGGCCCATTTTGTATCACAATTTGTACACATAATTTTTGAAAACGTGGCAATTTTATTTTACAAATTTCTTCTAACTGTTGGGGACAACTGAAATTTTTAGTGTAAAAGCAAAACACTGACAACTCTGAAAGGGAACAAGTTTACTTGTTCGATTATCTAAATCTAAGTGTTTGAAATGAGTCGCTAGTAATAAATCTTTACAGAGACTCAGGCCCAGAAAATCTATCAAATATATCTTTGTGTCTCTCTTGAGCGCCTTCTTGAGCGACCCAAAAGAATTTTATTTAAATATATATATTTTAATAAATTTTGAATTCGAAAATGTCAAAAATTTGCTTTTTGTGTTCATTTAATTAAATCATTTTGTTGGGCATCAAATTTTTAGTTATGTTGAAGACTGATTTGAATCGAACATAAAAATGTCGCTGCCAAGAGGATCGCCGGGGGCTGCAAAGTATATGCGAAACCCGGATTGCTGTCGACCCTTGAAATATCGACCAATTGAAGAGATTTGCAATTGGAATGCCAATAGAGATGTGCGAGGTTGCCAGCCATCAAGATGCGGACCAGTTGAAACACCCTGTTGTTCTGAGAACGTAGCAGGGCGTCAGCCATCCAGGGCAACTGTACCTGGGATTAAATGGAATGGATCTGAAAGCGCTGGAGGGCGCCCGCCCTCAAGTAATAGGGTTGAAGCAAATTGTGGATGTAGTTTAGGCAATGGCCAGACATTAAGATACAAACAAATTGATAAAGATTATAAGGCTGACGATGGCAATCCCTTTATGGCTGTTTATTGCCTAAAGTATGTGAAGGGTGCTACGCAGATGTGTCCATTATCTGAACAGACTACAAATGATTGTACTTGCTGTCCGCGTACAAGTCCGACGAGCGGCAAAAGAAGCAAGAAGCCCATGAAGTTTGGGAAACTCGTTCAGACCTCAGATATATTGCAGGAAGATAAAACGACACAATTTCCGGGTGAAAAAAAACCATATCAAAATAAAGAGATTGAATTGGAGGAATTCGATGTTACTACTGCCACAGGTGAAAGAGAAGTTACGGTTAGGAAACTTGAATCGGTTACAAGATTTAATCTAAGTGATAAAACCAAAGGGGTTAAGAGAACTGAAACTGTTACCAAATACGATAAAGCTGGTCATGAAATTAAAAAAGACGAGTTTATCGCCTATGAAAGTTCCGTTGATTCACTGGATACACATGTGACGAGAAAAGCATCCGAAGCCCGATTTAATGAGACCGGTAAAGAAATACGAAAACGAAATAGAGACGAAACAATTACCTCAAAAAACTCGCTGGGATCCGATAGGTCCGAGCTCCTAAGGAACATCGATGTAAAAAAGAAGGGCGGTTCTTCGACTGAAGATGAATTCGAAGAGTCAGTGTTAGAATTATCGACGAATGATGATGAACCAAACAAATCAACAGTAGAACCAACTGCTGACAATGATCAAACATTGAGGGAGGTTTCCGGCAGTTCTCCGCTAGATATCGTATCTGATCGACAGAAGAATGAGGACAGACCGAAAATTAAAAGGCGCTTTCGCAAAGAAACAGAACATCAAACGCATGACGCTGATACTGGTAAAATCGAATCGGTCTACAGTGTTGTATCCGAATCTGAATCGGAGACGAAAATCGTTGAGCGACCTGAATCCGAACCTGAACCCGAACCTGAAGCCGAGCAGAAACCATGCTGCAATTGCCACAATGTGAGACGGCATTGCTACAACTGTTGCAAGCGAGGCCAATGCTGGAGTCCTTGCACCTGCCGTTGTACTTATAATTATCATCTCAGACCCTGCATATGGCACTGCATGAGTTATCGTGACAGAGCCAATTGGTATGCTAGTTGCTCTTGTCGCAACTGTTGCCATTCGCAAAATAGTTGAAGTACAATTTGACTTTATTTATACACACAAGCAAACACACACGATAAATATATATGCCCAACAACAATATTTGCTTATTGGTTTGCTGACTGCCCCTTTAGCCTGTGTGGCATTAATTGTCTTAGTTGTCCGGCAAATGAAAATCTATTTTAAATAATTTGCGGACAACCAGATCGTTAACAAAAGCTTGCATGCACTTTACGAAATTAGATGCACTTCAATTGCAATTGATATTAATTTCGGTTGGTGGTAATAGGGGGGCCAATGAGCTTAACTGCTTGCATAAATAGTCCTTGGCTCCGACCAAAATCCAAAAGCTTCTTGGTCGGGTCATTAAGATTAGATGGCTTTTTGGACTGTGCCAGGCCAAATGGCAAGTGGAATTGCAAAGGATTCGAGCTCAAAATTATTATTTTTCGAGCGAAATAAATGTGAAACTGAATGCAGTGCTGCGAGAGCAATTCGACAATTAATATTAGCTATTTTGCAAGAGCAGGTCAAAAGCTGACAAATATATATTCATACCTACAACTTGGATTCCAAGCTGCATATTTTAGTCGTATTTTCAGGCTGATAAAATACATGCTTTTCCATTTATCGACGGACAAAATAACTGTAATTGGAATTATATTGATGATTGCAATAAACATTTAAGAGCAGGTCAAAACATGATAAAAGCAAAGCAAATCTCAAAGTAATTATATAAATTAATATCGTTTTCATTTTTAAATTTTATTGAAATATTTTGCAATATCTTGTCATGCATACAACTTCAATTTCAAACTTTATATTTGATGCTGATAAAATGCATGTTGTCCATTTGAGCAACAGACAACAAAATGAGTAATAAAAGTTGCAATTTGCACAAAGGTTGTCAAGTGGCGCCCAACGCCCATTTTGTGGTTTTCAGGTTTGTTGTTGTTGTTCATCAAGAGTATCAAGTTTTCATATCTGGGCAGGTACAAGTTTTTGCCTATTTCCTAGTTTTGTCTTTGGGGGGAAATTGAATATTTCATTTACGGATATTAAATGCCTTACATCATCGGCCAAAACGGTAGACTATTGGCAGGCATTATTACGCTGGGCCGTTGCAAGAGTGTGAGAGAGAGTTTATAATAGATGGTTCATAATATTTTGCTGTTGCGTCGATAGGCCCTTGGAATAATTCAGAGATTTGAGAAACGAAAAACTAATCTAACGGACAACAAGGCATAACGGAAGTTCACTTTTGGCCACACACACACTGTGTGTGTGTGTGTGTGTGTGTGTGTTTTGGCCTCTCTACCAATTTTCGCATGCTTGTATACTTAGCTGGCAGATGGTAGCTTTGTTTATTTTATTTCGTTTCATGTTTTATTCACCACTTCCGCCGGAAATAGACATACAAGCAAAGAGCGTTAGGCAGTCAGTTATATCAGCTCAATGGCTGGCTGGCTGCCTGCCTGACTGCCTGGCTGACTAGCTGACTGGCTGGATGACTGGCTGGCAAACATTTGTTTTGCCCAACAAAGTAGAAACTGTTTTCGCAAACAAATCCCACATAAATGCTCAATTTATAACAAACCGGAAGTTAAACTTAATCAAGCGTACTTTTTGGCTTATTGTTTAGTCTCTCTCTCTCTCTCTCTCTCTCTGTCTCGCCCTTGCCCCTGCCTATCTGTCTATCTGCTTGGCTCTTCTTTGTCCCCATCTGCCCTTCCGTATTTACTTAACATATTTTATTGCGATACTTTTGTGCTCTATGATGGTCTCGTGTCGCTTTTTGGGCCAGATTACGTTGGGGATTTGTTTGTCACTGTGTGATTTGAGCAAAATATTTTCATTTTTACTGTATTTGATCACCAATGTTGGCTTATGCATTTATGTATACAACATACAACATACAGACATGTTTGTCATACCATAAGCATATTTTTGGGCATAGTTTTAATGCCAGCCATTTATGTGATAAATCGTGCAAGATTCAAACATGACAGTAAATATTTATAGCGGATGGTTGGAGTCTGAATGGCTCCATAAAATTGTACTCTTTAGAAGAAGATATATTAATTAAATATGTAGAGAACTCAGAACAGACTCTGTGCACAGCAATCCAAAGACTCTGCAGTTGATTAAATTGCTTGGCTTTCGATAATTTAATCAGTGACATCTAAAAGGTTAACTGTTCAGTGTTGCATTTGTCAATCGATATTTTGGCAGTTGGCAGCAGCAAGAGGAAGAAAGTGACATAGTTAAATCTAAAAAAAATTCCAAATATGAAAACCCAGGTGAATAGCATCGATTCGAGTGTCGCCAATAATCCCTTACTTCGGAGAATACAACCGCGCGGAAAACCTGCAAATTTCGTGGCACTATACGGGCCAAAGTTGCAGCAGGCCTGTGAAGAGAGCGAAGATGATACCGACAATGAGGATGAGGAAGAAAACGAAGATGACGGCGATCACGTCATCGTTACTAGTTGCTCGATTTCCAGAGAGGAGGAACTGGAGCACAGGAAAGCAGTTGCCATTGTCGCCATGAAACGCGAGCGTGTTTATACCTCACAGGAGCAACAGCACTCAGACGAACTGGATCTGCGGAGTGTGATGGACATTCTGGCCAAGTTCTATGATCATAATCCATTGGAGCTGAAGGCAATGAAAGTGGTTGAACTACAGCAGCATCATCATCATCCTCAATCCCTATCGTCAACATATTGAGTATGACCAAAAAGGAGCACAGCTTGGAGCTATTTGTGAAGCACAACTTATGCTTAACTCGATATAATATTAAGATATACATCTAATCAATAAATAAACAAGAATTTATAGTATTGATAATCGCATCTATTATCAGTCCAGTGTTCATTGCTTGTAAAGTTGGGCAGCAATTGAAATCAACATTGGTTGAATGCAAATTTTGAGGGCAATTGCGAAGCAATTAACCCAAATGATATAAGTTGGCAAACATGTCTTGGGGCTGGGCGGTAAGTGGGCGTGTCTTCTGTGTGTGTATGTATGTTTGTGTGTGTCTCGTTAGTCATTGTTTGTGCTCAGTTAACAGAGCTCAAGTGCACACACACCCATACACACACACTCACACACAAAGAGAAACACAGACACACAGAACTAACACACAACACACCTGGATAAACAAATAGCTACTCGGTGGGGGGAGGGGGTTGAGATGCAACTATGAATGCCAGAAGGGTTGTGGTGAAGGGGGTCGCTTACAAATGTTTTCCATTTGCTAATGCGTTCGATAATTGCACGTTGGCAAACTATGCATTGCGAATCAATGCTCACCAAACTGCTTCAGGTTCCCACGAGGCAGCTTCATCAATCAGTCGGTCCACAAAGTCAGGTGAATCGATTATACTCTTGTTGTCACAATTAGAGCTCATTGTTGTGCTTAATCGCATGCACTTATGTGCATCTATCTATCTACATGTATATGTACGAATGCACATACGATTAACTTGATAAAGGGCTGTTGCGCACAACACATAATCTTGCAACAATTGAAAACGTGTCTCTTCACCTGCTGCGACTTGGAGTCAAATATGCGATAGTAATCTCGATTGCCAGGGCCTTTTAATCCTGGCTCGACCTCCAGTTTAATAATGCATTTAAACAGTGATCATGGATTCAAAGTTAGCAATGCGATCACATTCTCAAGAGTGATCCGATTTTTAAAAAAAATTATATTTTCATTATATTTTTACTTCTATATTAATAGCACACTTGAATATGAAAATCTACTACTACATTTAAAGTTCATTATGCGATTCTGGCTCGATTTCAATGTTCTCAAAAATGATTAGATGTAAAAAAAATCATGTTTTGACTTTTACAATAAAACTACATTTAAATTTGAAATCGCAATTCTGTTTTCTGTATTCAGTTTATCTGTCAGAATAATATTACAACTAGAAATCCATTTGGCTCCATAAATATACAAAATTTGAAATTACATAAAAAATTATGGAAATATGTCGGTAAAAAGTCCACTGAAATTCGGCTGGGCCCATCTGACTATTGCGTACAGAAATAGACCAATGCCCAACACTTGCCTTGGGCTGCATATGATTCGTCGGGTCATGGCCTCCAGCTCTCAGTTTCCATCCCGAGAGGAGCACCCAAAGTGGAAGCTGCATGTAGATATACTGTCCCCAAAGGAGAAGGCCAAAAGTCGAGAGCTAGTTTTACCAATGCTTACTCGTCTGTCCTTTCCGTGGCAGGCGATCAACATTAAGTGGGATCTATGGAAATTGAAATGGTTTTGGGACTGGAAATTTAACGAGTCACTATTTGTGGACAGCTCAAAACAGGCGCTGGTGCTAGCCACCCGGTTCATAGCCCAACAACGGGAGGAATATATCAAATGCTGCACTACGCAAATGGGTTACAAGCAGATCTTGCACGATCTTATCGGTCCAACGAAGCAGGAGTCCAGCGCCAAATGCTGGCCATGTCAGCTAATGCGCTTCGAGCATCGGCATATTTATAGAGCGATGCCATTAAAGGTGCATCGTTTGACACAATATGATCGTAAGTTCGCCTTTATAGACATGCTCTTCTTGGCCAGCCGGAGAGGAAATGATTTCGCCACCAAGCAGGAATTATGTGAGATGGAGATACTGATTGAGGATCATTTGCTAAATGTTGATAAAGTATTGGTTCCAAATCCAATTGTGTTTGCCAAGATATTTGTTCGCTTTCGTCGCGATTATTCGTTGCCAGCTAATCTGCGTTCGAGTCATTGGCTAATTTCCAGTTTTAAAATCCTGGAACTGGATGTACACAATTCTTATCAATGATACTTTGAATCCGAGCTCGACATGTTTGAATGTGATCTGATAATATAATTTATAATAGTATTTTCTTGTAAATAAAAGCTGTGCAAGTCCAAGTTGTTGTTGGTTTTGTCGAATCATAAGCCAGTTGTGTTTTGACTAGAAGCTAAGGCGTCCATAATCCGTACGATAATGAGCTTTGCGCACCCACCGCCAGGTGGCGCCAGTCGAGTCTGCAGCAAACTCAAAAGCAAAAAGCAAAAAAATAGTAGAGAAGAAAAACAGCAAAGGAAGAAACTGCAAAGTGCAAGATGTGTTGTTTCACTTAGTCCTTCCATTCCACTGCTTCTTTCCTTTCTTCTTCCGTTTTTTTTCTTCAACAGACAACTTTGTTGTGCTGTTGATGAGCTGGCGACGTTGTTCATGAATTTCTAATGGTAAACAGTAGGGACAGAAATAGGGGGATAGTGGTAGTTGTTGAAGGGGCGAGGACGGGCTACACTTGAGTGATTGCCATGCAGAGCTTAATACTAGTCAGCAGCTACAAGTGGACAACTGCAGAAGGAGTTATATTGACGACAATCACTTGAAATGGTCAAGCTTATTTCAAGGACAACAATGAACTGCATTTATTTGTCATTTCTCTTTATTGAATGCTTCTTTCTCTTTTAAAGTTCGTTGTGGCTAATTTCAAGTTACTGCATTGGAATGCATAAGAACAACTTAATATATACTCGTATACATATATACAGAGCAACGAACACGAAAAATGAAAATAAATATTCTCACTTACTTGAAAATATTGTAATAATTATATCAATTATTCTTACAAAGAGCTTAGCATATAATAAAACGCATACATTTTAGATTAATTATTTTATTAAATTAAAATCATTAACCACATACTTGTATAAAGACAGATCCCACCATTTGAGCAAAAGGTTTTGGCTTTAAGAATCTTTCAAACTTTTAACATTCTAATATGCAAACCAGATATTTGGCCACATTCGCCATTAGTTCTTGTGACTATCGTGCGGCAATATATCTCTCTCGCCATATCGCGCATATCACGTGGTGCAAATTATTTCAGTTGCCGCAAGGCGGCAAATGCGGCAAGTCGTGCTAGAAACTCGTAGCAGTTCCTGGCGCATTCAAGTCTTTGAATGTGGCGCTTATCAGAACATTTTGCATGGCAGACTGTCGATAAGTTGAATTTAGTGTGCGTGTGCAGCAGAGGAAGTGTAGGGAGAGAGCTAGGGAGAGGGTGAGGGTGAGGGAGAGGGAGAGGAGTGTGCGGGAGGAAGTGGAGAGTGCTTCTTTGTTTGAACTTTTGTGCGATATGCTTGCTTTGGACATCACTTTGCGGCTGTGGCAGCTGCGGCTGCTGCTGCTGCTACTGCTCGGTTGCATTTGAATTTAAAGCATGCAATTTTATGCTTTTAATTTTACGCTTTATAAATTTTTGTGGTTTCGCATAGCGCAATTATCCAAGCCGGGGTAAACAATGTCCGCCCGCCCGTACAACGGATCAGTAATAATGGATTTAAGCAGCATAGCAACTTTAATGAGCATCAACAAAGCATTGAAAGGCTGTAAACTTAAAAGTGGATAATTTTGAGCATAATTCTCTGTGAGCTGACTTAACTGGTCAAATGAGTATTTAATTCCATTCACATTTTCAATAAACACCAGTTGAGTATTTAATTAAAGTCCAAGATAATGCACTTTGTTGAAAGTTATTGTTTAAGTTGGGTAAAACTTTTTGTCAGCTGGCTTTAACAATGTTATTATGCATAGAACTTTATTTCATTGAGCATTTTCAATGCTGCTGTATTATTATAAATCGGCTTTATAGTTTTTGTTGGCCACACAACAATGAGGAACTTATTCGAAGATAGCTAAAACTGCTAAAAACTGCAATACACACGCTTTCTCATATATCTCATACATCATTTGCTGTCAAGTTTTTCCAATGGAAAAGGGGCAGCGAGGGGGAGAGAGAGGGACAGAGGGCAGGCAACGACAACAAGTTGGGCGTGTCGAAAAACTTGAAATTGTTTTCGAAATTGCAATGTCACGCTATCCCACAAAAGCATCGCAACAACAGCAACACCAAGGAAGGACTCGGAGAAAGTTTGCTGGGTGAAAGAGAAAAGTTAGCATAACTGGCAAAGATATCCATCGGTTTGACGAACTTTCAATATCCTTTGACAAATTCCAGTTAAGCTGAAGCTCAACAACAGGCTGAGCATGGTATCCTTGAAATATGGGGCACAAATAAGGGGTTTTACTACCTGTAACCTGTACTTTATTTCTTTAGTGTATTACCAACGCATTTTGATAGTTAAAGTATCCGGCTGTTGTAATGGCAAACAAACAATTTGATATGTTGCATTTGCGGGTCATTTCCAGCAATGACAATTTCATTTTGCAACACAGACTCAACACGCCAGACTGCTGCTACTGGGTTGCAAGTCGAATTCGGAGAGTGACCGCTGTAATGGGCAACAAAACAAACGATGCCATTGACAGGACACTTGCAGCACTTGGCCGGACTGATGACAATGACTTTTTAAATTGTTTCATGGAAAGTGTCAGCTATGGTCAGAAAGTTTAGCAGCTGCTGCAAAATGAATGAGAGCCAAGTGCACCACACTGCAATAATAGTTGGCCCCATAATGAGCATCATCATCATCATCATCACCATCACCATCATCATCATCGTCATCGTCATCATTATCGTTATCATCGTTAAGGTTACGTGGTAATGAGCATGAGCGGGCGAAATCAGACTTTATGACTTCATTTTCACCCGAGTGCTGCCAGACGCTGCAAAATGTGCTGGCAACACGCCTCACCTTGCAACACGTTGCGGTCCTCTCGCAGCTCTTAAATTGCAGGTGTGGTCGCCACACCGCAGACTGCGTTCGCTGTCAGCACTCTGACTGCGGCTAGCTGCTACACTCACAAAAACAAAATATGACCAAAAATTATACTCCTTCGAACTGCACTGCTGACTGAATCTGTGCCTGAAGACGAATCCCAGCGAATCCAATAGAGCCAGTTAGAAGAGCCAGGAAATATAGAAGTAAAATATTAAAATTAAAAACATACAAATATTGTCGACAACTAATTTCTAAGACATGAAATATTCTTTTCGTAATAATTTTAGCAACTATTTTAATGAAATTCAGAGGAAATATGGAAATTCTTGGCTTGCAAAAGTAGTCAAAGCACTTTCCATATTTTGGTTCCCTTTTTCTGATTTTCATTAAAAGAGTTTCTTAAGATTTATTATTCATTGCGCTAGATACAAAAGAATTAAATAAAATTGGGTAAAACTAAAGCTGAACTTATTAATTTATAAATGTTTACCATGCTTTTATCTGAGTGTAGCCACGTCCTAGACAACCGTTGCCTGCAGCTTCGACAACGAACAGACAGACACACTATTAAATAGACATTCGTTGGCTTTTCATAGCTGGACAGGCAGCCGGGATAAAGCTGATGCGTAGGTGTGAATATCAAAGGCAGGTGACTTTGCACTTATGTGTGGAGTAAATGCAACTCAAGCTATTTCATCAACACTGTTTGATAGCTGGAAAAAATTTAAAACAGCGGAAAACTGGTGCTGTCTCCTTGTATAAAAATAAGTTTCCATTGAAAGTAAACTTTGGCCTTAAATAACAATTATTATAAATGGTAGTTATTTAATATTAATAACCAAACATTTTTAAACTGTTTCCATAACAATTTGTTTTTAACCTCCGCACTATTGCTGCTGCCACTCAAAATATTACTCATACGCCGCATTGTTTAGTTCTGTTCATTGTCTGGCTATGCTGACAAAGTGCTTTTTACTGCTTTTAGTTTTTCAATTCTTATGCAATTTGACATTCAATGCATGAGCAATAATAAGAGCAATAACAGTATATTTTCGATAAGCTAGACAATTAAAAACCCGACAATGTTCGACAAAACGAATTAAGATAAGCAAGAAAATTCACTAGAATTATTGCCGAGCGCTAAATTATGACTTTAAAATGGAAATCCTTCGACCAACTGCCTGCCAATTATAACTTTTATGTGCGCTTAACAAGTTTAATTACCTTTCTCGTGTTATTTAGTACAACTTGCCATAAATCCAGTCATTATTAAGCGATTACAATTCCTGTTTATTTTGGCAATTAAATGCTTTTGTTTCTCCTATGTGATGAAGAAGCAGTAAAACACTTTAAAAAGCGCAAATAATCCACATTTGATTTAAGCTAAACACCTATATATATGCATATATATATATGTATATTTATATTCAAATAAGCAAACAATGCAAATTGCTATTGTTGCATATGCCAAAAATAATTTCTTAAGGAGGCGAAACACATGAAATGCACAAGATACACAAATTCACATGTAGCTTAATGGAATTGAATTGATTAAGTAAATTTGACTGTCAGACGTAAGCAGTTCGACATGCAAATTGAGCAAAATGCAAAAGTGTAGCAACAAAATTTGCATGCACGTTTTTATTTATTTTTTTTTATACCCTGAACGCTTTAGAGCTAAAGGGCTAGAGTTGGAATATTGATATTTATATATATATATATATAGATTTCAGATAGCAATTAAGGTCGTGGGGTTTGTCATGAGCTAGATGAAATTAATTTGCATCTGCAAACACTTTGTTTGCTTTTGACTCAATAAATTCGCTTTTTTTCTGTTGCCATATTTCGCACAGTCTAAAAGCAAAGTTGCAACAATCAAACTTTATAATTACTCGCCGCATTGATGTTTTCCTTGCATATACATATTAAGAACCCTTCGTGGCACTCCTACCCGACTATTACCTTGCCCCACCACGCCCACCGCCCTTCACACACACTGCTCGGATGCGTGTGCAGAAAACTTTTGCAGCACATGGGGTAAGTATGGTAAATATTTAAAAGAAAAGTTTGACTGGGCCAACAGAGAAAATTAAATAAACAGTTTGGAGAGCACAGCTGACGATGGAACGGAGAACTTAG